CTGGGAGGCTGAAACTTTCAGGAAATGTTCCCAACTCATCTACAACTTAAATTTACCAAATTCAGCTCCCCATTATGAGTGGTTGCCACGTGCAGCCCAGCAAAAATTTTCGGCGGGAATTTAGATAACTCGGGAACTGAGGAAGTCGGAAACCTGGGATTTCAAGGGAGTGGCCCCTGTCCACACGAAACACTGCAGAAACGCATGATCGCACGGGCCCACCAGTGCGCGTCGCCAATGATTTTATTTTCACTGCCTTACCAAAAAAGGGCAGTCTAGGATTCGTGTAAATTCCATACACATATGAAACACATAAGTGATGCTCAATAAAGAGAACAGTTGTCCACCGCGCATACCAGAAATGCTTAGACTTATAATGTACCGCACAAGAGCGGTAGACTGATGTGCGTGCTTGCATACCAAATTAATAAGGGAATCAGGAGGCGGTATGAAGGAAAGGACAGCGAGGACGAAGAGCGATGGGTATCTGTATATGTTAAATAATGTGGGAATACTGACTGATGTATTCCTGCATCTAAATCATCCTTTTTTTGCTGAACATTGTGAACGAGCTTGGGAGGTGTTTTCGTATGTTAACTGCTATCATTGCAGCTGTACTGAAAAAACTATGGTAGAATGAATTCTAGTTGTTGCTACTCACTGACTGTAAGTTAAATTAAAAATAAATAAGTTCTGACAATTAAAAATTCAGAACCAACCGGAGTGAAACTTGTTAATAATGGAACTCATTCCTTTTAATTTTTTATGCGCTTTTTGCAGCTATGTAATGCAGAAAACGCATATTGACGAGAGGCTATGTATGTATGTGTCTGTGTGTGTTTCTGTGTGTGTGTGTGTGCTGCGCGTCCGTACCGATTTTTCATCTCGAGACTCACAAAAGCCACGGGGCTGAAACTCGGGGAGCTTGATTTATATACGTGTACGAGCCCTCATCTCCGAAATGGGCGCTCTTGCCTCGTGGTACCCATGTACTGGACCGTCAAAATCTTCTCCGGGTAAGTTGTTAACTCGGGAACCTGAAAAATTAGAAGGCTGAAATTTTAAGAGGATGTTCCTCGTCCACGTACGTGTTAATGATTTCGGATCCAGCTCTCGGATATGCGTGGTACCCACGTACGGGCCCGTAAAAGTTTCTGGCGGGTTAGTCGCTAACTCGGGGATCAAAAAAACTAGAAAGTTGAAATTTTACGGGGACGTTCCCCGCCCAAGTAGGTATCGACGAGTCTAAACCCAGCCCTCGAGTATGCGTGGTACCCGCGCACGGGCCCGCCAAAGTTTTTCTCGGGACGGTTGCTAACTCGAGAACCTGAAAATCTAGAGGACTGTAATTTTACGGTGATGTTCCCAGTCCACGCAAGTCTCAACAAGCTCAAACTCTGACACCGGGCATGTGTGGTACCCACTACGGGCCCGCGAAAGTTTTTTTCGAGTAACTCAGAAGCCAGGAAAGCTAGAAAGCTGAAATTTTAACGGAATGTTTTCTGACATTCTAGCGGTCAGTCTTATTTTGTTTAGCTAGAAGCATTTGCCGGAAAAAGGGGTGTCGATAGCGACAAAAACTGCGGGGAACTATGCAAAAAAGCATCTTCGCACGGACAGCCCGTGCGTTGGCCAATTATCTTCTTCCGAGCAAGTTTTCGTAGCTGCAGAGATCCTCGAATCCGGCAGTGGAAATCGAGCGCATCCGGCTTATTTTGTGCCCTGAACAAGTTTCTGAACCAGACATTTATTATGCGTTTTTGCATATATGAACCAGGTGCCACCCCCGAACTGCGGTACCAATCCTCACGGACGGCTGGGTCTGCGTACGATCACACGAAAGTTTTGGCCGGAAAATCGCTAACTCGGGGACCAGGAAAGTTGGAAAACTGAAATCCTAACGGAATGTTCCTGTACAAATAGCATACAGTTGCACAATCGTCATAAATTTTAGCTGCTGGGATTCCAAACGATCTTACTACAGCACGAAACAGTACAAAAACTCATGATCCCATAGACCCGCTTGGTGCGCTTTGTCAATGATTTCTTACGCATACGGAGTGTAAATCTACATTTCGGTAGGCTATTTCTGACTGAGAGTAGGAAATGAACTATTAAAAAGTCATCAGAACAGAAGAAAACTTATACCACAGATTGTACATAGGATAAACGCAAATACATCAATACATTTAAAAAGGAAACTTTGAGGGCTTGAAATTGGCACTTCAACAATTTGTATGATACAAAAGAAGGTCGCAAAGTAAACAACCAAAAGAACGATGACAAGGTGGTCTTCTAACATATGTTACACGAAGATATATGGCGGAAAAAACTTGTACCAATACCACTAAAACATACAAACCAAAAGGCAAAAAATATCCCCCCACCAAGTAACAGTGGCTAACAAAACACAAATCATCACGACCAGCTTAACTGCCACAAAAACAACATAATTAATTTGCAGTATCATATTTGAGCTAAAATACAAAGAAAAAAAAAAAGAATCTGGAATGATTACTTGCCCACATATGCAGAATGGAGGTGTAAGTTCAAAGGATACAACAGTGAAGAGATGTTACAAAAAGCCCAACTGCCATTATTTTCATAAATAACCTGTAATTGAACACTGAGCCTTTTTTTTTTTCAGATAGTTAGCTTATTACTTTGAGTGGCACCCATCTAATAGGCCTTAACTAATATATTGTAACATTTTTACACGAATTTCAGCTCCGTAGTTTAGCAAGCAAACGTTTCTGGCAAATTTTCTTCCACTCTTCATTCTACTCATTAAGAAGCTAAAGCGTTTCCAGGCTAAAATACCGTTTTGACACGCTTTCGCTGTAGAGTGCCACAGTACTGCAACATAAAAAGTATATTTTCGAGAGATTTTTGGTCGTATTTGGTTGAATGAACTTTGTTACCCGCCCTTAACACCAGGACCAGAGAAGGTAAAAAGCTGATAATTTTGCAGCAAGTTCCCACCCGATGCACATCCTCTATATCTTGAAATTATCGTTCGCGCATGTTTGGGTCCCACACACAGAATGTAGATGCTTTGGCAAGAAATGATTTCGAAAACCAGTGAAAATAGGATGCTGGAACTCTGCAGGGTGTCCTCTGTCCATGTGTGCGCTAAAGATTTCAAATTCGAGAATCAGCAAAAAAAAGACAACTGAAGTTTTGCCAAAAAATTTACGATCTGTAAGGGAACTCGTACACTTAAACTGTTTTGGACTGCACCCTCATCATGTGTCAGGATACAATACTTTTAGCAAAATGGCAGTTTCTGGAACTGGAGTAGGAAGCTGAAAATTTACAAGGATATTCTGTGCCTATGCGTGAATTGAAGTTTTTAATTCAGCTTCGAGGCACACCTAGTCCTTGCTCTATGCGCAATTAAAGTTCCAATTTCGGACAAATTTGGCACTCATTTACTTTGCAACCAGACTGATCAGGGAGCCGCAATTTTGTGATAATGTTTATTGTTCATGTGATAGGTTCTTCTTTCGTACATACACTGCGCATGGACGCATCAAACATTCAAACTGCAACACTTTTGCCACCCTTCTCTCTTGGTAATCAGACAGCCAAGAATGCAAAAATTTTTGTCAGCGATGCGCACATGTAAGATTCGGGGCAATAAAACCTTTTGGAAGTTAAGATTTCACGCGGCCCCATGATGCACCATATCATCCTAGTCGATGTCCCTTCCTTTAAGTGCAGGAAAAGGCAGAAGAACGAGTGCACTTGTTCAGCTGTAAAGCAAAAACCCGGCATACTGTTAGCGGTCTGATTGTCCCAAGATTCGTGCAGGAACGCATAATCCTACCGGCAAGCCTGGCGCGTTGCTACCCGGGTTCATGTTTGCCTCATTGCTAAAAAATTGCTCTCATTCATTTTTTTGCAACCAGAGCACACCAACGCTCATTCCGCAATTATTATGCAAAAAAAAGTTGCGAAGAGCTGCGCGACAATGTTTGAGTGAGCACTCTTATTTAAGTGTTCTGCATTACTTGCTAATTCGAAGCCTCAAATTCGCACGTAAGGCAGAACGTTTATTAAGCAAAAATGAGTTAAAATTTCGTCATTCTAGCACTGACAAATATACTACAGCACAAGAGCTAGAATAACATTATGATCGAAATTGCATTTTCGACAGTCTGCTTCTGAATACAAGAATCAGACAGTAAACCATCTACTTCTTCCTTCTTTTCGCACCACTTGAGTTGACACTCTTCGTTATTGTCAAGTGACCGGGCACTCTTTTTTACAGACAGAAAACACCAATTAACTGTCATGCAGCAAAAAGAGGCATCATACCAGCTTAATCAGCGGGAAAGGCCAACTTTACTATGCTAAAAAACGCTGAAAGTCAAAGCTACGATGGATGTTATGCAGAATGATCGAAAGTCAAAAGTCCAGCAGAAAAGCGCACCCGAGTAACTGCGAAGTGATGCGAAATTTCAAACTGAAAATTGGTTATTAAACCACGCTGTAAGCTCCTCTTCAGTCTGTTATAGAGAAATATATTACAGTGCAGGAAACGTGAGCAATATTAGCAACTATGATCGGAAGTGATGACATGCGTCGTGAACAAGTACTTATCGCCGCACCCCTGCCCACATAGGTTGCATTTCCATGGATCCGAGTCTGAATGTAATCCTTTGTGAAGAAGATACAACGTCTGATCCAGGAAGAACATCCCACAATGCATACATTCCTAAAACCAAACAGAAATTTCGGTCAGTATCTCTAAAAGTAGAAATTCTAAAACTGCGTTAAACCAACTTGTTGCTCTTTGTCCATAGCTTCACCATCGGTTGCGCTGCTACTTCCACTATCAACCGAAGGAGAGTGCGACTGATCTTCAGTGTTTTCGCTCCCCGCATTACTTGTTCTTGCCCACACGTGTTGGAAAGTTGCTTCGGGGTTCATATTCTGAAATTACTGATGCAATGTTTCGTATGAAAGCCAATTACTACCGGTGTTTGTACATGAACAGCACCGAAAATGTATTTGAATCATGTCGATTGGCAGCAAACGTGATACTTTTTGACGGATAAAAAGTTGGAGAAACAAATCGTTGTGAACGGATACTGTACAGAAGAAAATACGGGGCAGCGTGGGACTACAGACAGATACAAATTTCGCTTGAGATGATGCAAAAGGCACGAGTAAATAGAAAATTCCTGATCTAAAGATGAAGCAACAGCAACCTAGTTTCCAGATGAACTATGAAGTGAAGCCGATTAGATGAGCTCGAGAACAGAGGGTGATGCAGACAGTCTGTGATGAGGAGGAAAGAGGAGGAAAAGCTCTTTTGTTCCCAAATAAAACAATCCAAACAACCAAAAACGAGAACTACGTTTAACAGAGCAAAAGTTGGTCATCACAAAGCTATTCGAAAAACGCCATAATCGGCCACAGAGTGTTACCAGAGCTGAAAAGCACGAAATCGGAAAGTTTTAAGAAAGATAAAGCGGTGGAAGTAATGGAAGTGAAGGAACTAGTGCAGGCCTCTGTTTTGTCGGAAGCGAAATGTATCAATGATTAAATTAAATATTGTATGAAAAGCATACCGGGATGACCGCTGGTGGGCCGACATTTGATAAGGACATGAACCAGTCTTCACCCGCCATACTGCATCCATTCTGAAGCAGAAGGAGGTCGACAATAACTCAAGCAAAATGACGCAGGAACATCCCAAAACAAATCACCTCGTGAAAAGAGAAAGGCGCCACCCTTTCGTAATCCATACACCTTGAGAGACATCCATTTGTGAATGACGTAAAGGACTCCTGTTTGATCATTTTCAGCTGTTCTTGAATTGCTGCGATAATATTTTGAGGAGTGCTTCGGCACAGCTGTTGAGTTACTGGTGTCATAATCTGACGATATGCGTTCTTCCTGCTATTCTCCGATTTTGGTTTCGCTCCCGGTTTTGCTGTTGAAGTTACAACGACGTTCGATGTCTGCAACACAGAGCTATTGATGAGCCCGCTGATCAGTACCCCTCTCCCCCTCCCCCTCCTTTTCCCGACCCCAAGCCCCCTTTTCCTCCGAAGAAAAAAGAAGTAAATAGAACTTCCATCTGGTGGACCTTTCAAACATGAAGAATGTTCCAAGCCTTTTATTTGCTTAAAGCTTGGCTCGATAACGCACTACTTTGCTTATTCAGCTTCAGCTACTTCAATTCTTAGACTTGTTGCACAGATATTCAGTCACTTACAGACAAACTCACACAGCAAAAAGTGCATTACCTTCGCATTCCGTGCGATATCATCGGGACTGGTTGCCCTTTTAATCGCTGGCCCTCCTCTCAGTCCCCGTACAAAGCTACGATACTTGCCCCTCTTTCGGGATCTGTGAAGCTAGACTGAAAGTGCATAATTCTCTCACATTCAAAACCTGTTCCTTTCAATAAACCATGAGATGCATTTTTATGCGTTTTTGCATATATGCAAATGCAAAAGCGCATACTAAGACGATCCCGTGTGCGTGTGTGTTTATGCGTCTGTCCGGGTATTTCAACTCGGCAACCAGGCAAGCTCCAGCTCCAAAATTTTGGCATTGGGTTCCTTGGCCAAGTGCTACCCCAGGATCGTGGTACCAAACCCTCATGCACGTCCAGGCCCTGCGCACGGCCTCGTGAAAGTTTTCGGCGGGAAAATTGCTAACTCGAGAACCAGGAAAGCTAGGAGGTTGAAATTTCAAGGGGATTTTCCCTGACGATGTACCATTTAGCTGCAGAATCAATTTCTTAAACTTCGAGGACCAGTACGCCATAAATTCCAGCTACTGGAACTCCTGGCGATTTCACAACAGCATGAAATATTGCAAAAACGCATAATCGCACTGCCCGCCAGATGCGTGTCGCCTATGATTTTTCCCCTCTTTCAACAGCTCGCTGAGAAGAATCGCTTGGATAGGAAAATAGCATGTTGAAAAACTGAAGCAGCAAACAATCACTAACATCGCCTTCGTCGTGTTTCGTTTGATAATGCAGCAGCAATCGCCTGGCATTAGCAAAAAGGAGTGAGCATCGCTTGCAGGAAGCTGGCGTGGATGGTGCGATGGCATGAGATTCCTCCAAATGTGTTCGTAAACTAGCATGCTGACTGAACTGCTTCTCACACAGCGCAACTGGACAGTCAAAATCGGCACCGGTTTTTATATGGGTCATTGAATGTTCCTGCATCTAAATTACAGCAGTAAGAAGTTTTATGCAGAAAAGCTGGCAGAGGTATGACTTCTCGTCATGCCAGGATTTCATAACATGCGACTGAGCGATTACTGTTACTTGAACAACTCAGTTCTGATAAATGGAGCGCAAAGACGGAATAACTTGTACAGAGAGGCTTGTACGAGACGAAGAAACTTGTACAATTCGTTTCACACTGACAGTTGTGCTACACTGTTGTCAGGAGAAAATGAAGTGATCTTAATGTAAACCTGATCTTTCCTGAAAAATTTTTTCAGGCAGTATCGGCACTGATAAGGTTTAACACCCGTATGTCGCATACGATGCCGATGCATATTTGCTTTCTGACTGAACTGCATATGGCAAATATCGCACTGATACATTTGTCCTTGGTGACGTTCATGAGCATCCTAAAATTGTAAACAAATGAAGCTAACCTTAAAACGCAGGTAGCAACGTACCAGGCTTAACGCTGCGATCATGAACTTCTTGCGCTAAAATTGGAACAGTTAGACTGCTGATAGTGTGATTGGCTGTTTCTCTACAGCCAAACACATGTTCATTATGTTTAGGCTTTTTCTTACATGCAGGGGAAAAGGCATCTATTGGGATAGTCGTCTTACATTATGAGGCAGCGTGAATCTCCTGCGTGCATGATTATCAATTTTGTATGAACAGGAATGAGTAGTTTACGGTAGCCGGTCGTTCACTGAAAATGCAAATTTCAAAATGAACAGAATTTCGGGCGAGCGCGATGAAGAAATTTGCAAAATGCGCCCCTTCTGAGGTTGCGATAAAACTGAGTGTTTTTCATGACTGTGTGCAGAGAATTTAGCTTATAAACTAAATTTAGACCAGACATGAGTATAAAACATCCGTGCAAAGTTTCAGCTTCGCAGTTTGTCCGATAAGCAAAATTACCAATTCAATATAAGTAGCTTTGACGCACTGTAGGGAGTGACATAAGTGCAAGTCGAAACTCGATTTAGGTATACGATTTCGTAATCTTGAAAAAAAAAAACGCTACAACCACTTTTATCCAACTATTTTTCGAGTTTGCGCGGTGTTAAGTTGCGGGATTTGACGTAACCGCACGTGTGACGCAAGAGCGCGTTATGGTTGAATTGGAAATCTTTAGCTCATACATGGACAAATAATGCTCACACACTTACCGATCTTTATCCCGCTAAAAAACTTACACTTTTCTTCAAGCGGTCCATATGTGTGGACTAAACGCACATGAACGCTTTTAAAATGGAGGAAATACACTTCCAAAATTTCAACTACCAGCTTTCGCTGTTGTTGAATTGAAATTGGGTTACAAAGTTCACTTTTTTATGCGTTTTTGCATATATGTAAATTGCAAAAACGCATATTGGGAAGAGGCTGTCTG